ACTAGAATATTTCTCCAACCCCAACCCTAAAATAGATGAAATTTCCACAACCAACCTGTTTTTCCAAGGATCCTGTGTATTTGAATTTAGTCTGGTGCTAATATGGTCTCAATTCTATTTAAAAGTATTTGTGGAATGATTTCTGAGTGATTGTCATTGTGTGGGATACAATTGAGGTAGAAATCATAGTATCTCATTTTGAGGACCTTATAGCCCAATTCCTCATACAGTGGGGTGAATGGGAAAGCAGAAACGCATAAAACAAGAGAACAATTCCAAAACAATATAAAAAGGTCTCAAAGACAGCAGGGTACAGGCTGCACAGAGAAGGTACATGAATCCTTACCTGATCTCCCCAACTTCTGGTGCCCTCTGACTCCCTAACTACTTCGTTTTTAAGTACTTTTTATGTATTTGTATTAATATTGATGTTTTGTTATATCACTTATTTATTTTCTATTTTATGTTTATAACTTATTAATATTTTGTTGTTGTTTGTCAGTCCTCTCAAAGAGGACCAAGACATCAGGGAGGTGATGCCGTGCCATGCAAGTGATTGTATTTAAGTGAGGGAGAGCTGTGCAAAGTTACCAGCCTCTCTTTCTCCTCTGGAGCTATCTGGGTCCAGTGGTGAGATAGATCAGGATGACTGGAGATGACCCTTGATGCAGTAGGAAACCTTGGCCTTTTAATCTAAGTTCTTTCTCATGTCTCAGTTTGACTGAGGCTTCCAGATTGATTTTTTTTACTAGATAAAGAAGCTATTCTCTGCCTCATTTCTTACCTAGCCTTAATCACTGAATTAATATTTTATATTTATTCTGTATGTATCTATTTATGGGGTCACGAACAGTTGGATACGACCGAAAAACAACTGAACAACATAAATGTATCTATTTATGGACATGTCTTCCCCATGAGAATGGAAGCTACCTAAGAGATAGGATTGTTTCATTCTTTGTCTTGGTGTTCCCAGCACCAAGTATAGGTCTTGGTACATACTAGCCTCAATAAATGCTTATAAATTGCTGTATTGATTGAATGCAGGAATCACTTAATAAGGCCTGGTTTGATAACACATGCCTGAAAGCAAAGCTACTAGAGAAGCTGAGGCTGGTGGATCTCTTGAGCACAGGAATTCTGAATTGTAGTAGGGCTAAGCCGATTGGGCTGGGCCCAGTCAGCCACAAAATCATGCATTAATATGTTGAACCTCAGGGAGGAAGAGTGAGGATGGGTTGGGTGACCAGATTTTCCAAGGAAAATATAATCTGTCCAGGTCAGGAACTGATCAAGTCAAAGCTCCCAAGCCAATCTAAGTGGAACTGGGCCTGAGAATATCCCATGCAATTATCATCTGGGTGAAATATGGAAACACTATTTAAATAATAAAAATTTAAAAAGGAACTAGCCAATAAATGCTTAAATGGAACTGAGGCTATACTAGGATCAGGCTAATTCCAAATTCATAGAATCTTTGGACAAAGAGGTTAATTGTGGCAATGAAGAAATATGAGCATAGTCCAAAGATCATTGTGGAATAAATTTAATTAGGGAAGACTTCATATAGCAGATAGAACTTGAGTTGGGCCCCCAAAGAAAGTTCAGGAGTTGTTTTGGTAGTGAAGATATAGGAGTACATCCATAATGTCATAGATTTAGAGTTGGAAAGGGACCTTGTTTTACAGATGAGAAAACTGAGGCACAGAAAGGTTTAAGTGACTTTACCAGAGTTAAAAAAAAAGATAGTAAATGCCTGAAACAGGTTTTAAACTCAGTTTTTCCCAACTCTTAGTCCAACACTCTGTCCACTATATCATCTAATGCATTGAAGAGAGAGGAGGATAGCATAAAAACAAAAAAGAAGGAAATAGTGCCTTGCACATAGAAAGCTTTTAATAAAAGTTTCTTGAATTAAAATAGGTATGGCTGAAACTGAGGGTTTGCATCAAAGAGTAATGGGAAATAAATGTAGCTAAGTGACAAGTTAAGAGGGAGCTTGGAATGCTAAGCTAAAGAACTGGTGCCTAATTAAGCCAAAAACCAGTGATAGGGAATTTATTTTAATTAAATGCCACTGACTTATTAGGAAAAGTATATGGAGTAAAAAAATCAACTTAATCTAGGGAGTTGGTACATTGTTTGTTTTTCAGACTATATAGAATATGTAACCATTTTCTATTTAAATTAAGGAATATACACTTTTCCTTATGAAATAGGAAGTTCAGTAATTTATCCATAATCTCCCTTGTTTGACTCTTTTTTTTACTGGTTCAGATGACAACCCTTTGACATTCTCTTGTTATGTGCAACTTTTGTTCATGTCTTGCCATAAATATGCGAAAAGCATCCATTTTATGCACTGCAGATCTTCCTCTGGTTCTTTACTATTTCATGAATACCAGGTAACAATCAGACTTTTCATCTGGTATCTCTCATTCTCACTACATAACTGGTCCACTTCATTTTAGATTCAGACATGTCATTGATAATGCATTTTATGACAATCCTTGTAAGAAAATAGTGTTGTTAATATTTTGCAGCCTACTTATGCCCACTATGCTTCTTTCCATTTTCTTTCCTTCACATGAACAGATCCATGCTTAAGGAAAATTATTTTGGCCATTGCGTGTACAATTATCTAGAGTAGTATAAACCTGAAACAATGGACAGATAGTGATATCTTTGACAGAAATCAGAAAATTTGGGAGTTGTGAACTGATCCAACCATTCTGGAGAGCAATTTGGAACTATGCCTAAAGGGCTATAAAATTGTGCATACTCTTTGACCCAGCAATACCACTTCTAGGTCTGTACCCAAAAGAGACCATAAAAATGGGAAAAAGGCCCACATGTACAAAAATATTCATAGCAGCTTTTTGTAGTGACAAAGAATCGGAAATTGAGGGGATGCCCATCAATTGGAGAATGGCTGAACAAGTTGTGGTGTATGAATGTAATGGAATATTATTGTGCTATAAGAAATGATGAGCAGGCGGACTTCAGAAAAACCTGGAAAGACATATGTGAACTGATACTGAGTGAAGTGAGCAGAACCAGGAGAACATTGTACACAATAATAGCCACACCATGTGAAGACTGACTTTGATAGACTTAGCTCTTCTCAGCAAAGCAAGGATCTAAGACAACTCCAAAAGACTCATGATGGAAAATGTTATCCACATCCAGAGAAGGAATTATGGAGTCTAAATACATATGGAAAATACTATTTGCTCTCCTTTTGTTGTTTTGTTTTGTTTCTTTTTTTCTCGTGGTTCCTCCCATTGGTTCTAATTCTTCTTTACATCGTGACTGATGTGAAAATATGCTTAACATGAATGTATAAGTAGACCTATATCAGATTGCACACCATCTAGGGGAGGGGAAGAAAATTTAAAACTCAAAATCTTATGGAAGTTAATGTTGAAAACTAAAAATAAATTGTTTAATTAAAAAAATAGGAAAGTTTAGAAGAGGGAAGGGTATGGTAGAAAAGATGAGTTCAGTTTTAGATGTATTTAGTTACTAGGCAGCCAGTTTGTACTGAAACTCAGGGGGAAATCTGGGGCTAGATTTATAATTAAAGCCATGGCAGCTAATGCAGTCACCAAGAAAAAAGTGTTATAAAGAGATGAGAAGGGTCCAGTACAGAGCTCTGAGGAATGTCCACAGGGATAAATAGCAATGTCTCCATTTGAGGTAAGGTGGGGCAGGGAAGGGCAAAGCAGGGCAGGACAGAGCAAGTCTGAAATCAAAGAAATGGCAACAAAAGTTTAAGGAATAGACCTCATAGAGATATACAGAGAAAAGCAAGATGCCTAGGTGATTGAGAACCATGAACTTAAGTGTAGAACCATGAACTCCACTTAGGAAAATGCTTATTATAAACTCACTTCCAAGGGGGATGAAAGTAGAGACCATCACTGATAAAGGCTCATGAACTCACATGGATTTTGTATAGAATTCTAGAACCAAAAGGTCAATGAAAATCTAGGACAGACTATAAAAGAATAGCCCATCAGACCAATGAAAAGGACACAAGAAATCTATCTTTCAGAACTATCTGGGAAAAGAAACTTCCTCTCTAGGTAGATAATTCCTTCCTAGGAAGTTGGAGAGATTTAAGATTGCCAATGGTGCTCAAGCTTAATTTCACAGATACTGCTATTCTGGTAGATTTAGAAAAGTAAGTGGAATCATGGAGCAACCTTTAATTGATCAATCACTCAATCAATAAACATTTATTAAGGACCTACTATGTGTCAGCCACTGTGCTTTAGAATTAAGCAATTTAAAATACAGGTTCATATTGAGATTGATAAGTTAATTGGTAACAATATGGTATAGTTGGTCTACATTCTAGATAGTAATTTATAGGCAATGAGATCACACCTTGATAACCATTAGATTAAAATTCTGAATTCAAAAATCTTCAAATGCCAAAATTGCAGAAGATACATGCATGGAATTTTTTACATATAAATCAAAGGTGCCAAACTTGCCCCTCAAGGGCCATGTGGGGCCCATAAAATTCCCAAATGCAACCCAAGCCAGATTAAAATGTAATTGGGAAAGGTTTAACAAAATAAATAAAAATCAAATAAAACATAATGTTAATTTGTGCTTTTCTAAGTCAATATGCAGCCTGCAGGAATCCATCTCCATCTGAATTTGACACCACTGATACAAATAAAGATAAATGTAACTGGACTCATTTTATTGGACAGATGGAAAGTTTTATGCTTTATTAAGATTGATTTATTCTAATAGTATGTTAATAAGTTTTTTTGCAGTGTTATTTTGGAAAGTGCAATAGAGCTGTGGTATTGTTAGTGTTTGAGAATGACAGCCTTCATTTGATTCATTGACACATAGGGCATGTTGATGACTCTTTCTCAATGAGAGACTGTATTGTAAGAGAAGCCTCAGGATCATCTACCTCCTACCCTAAGAAATGTGTTTAGATCCTTAGCCTTTTCATTCATTCTTTTCTGTTCTAGGTGCAGGGAGTATAATCTCTGATCACAGGGCATTTAGCCATGAGAATCTAGGAGTCGGAATCCAAGTCAGATTTTTATAGTCAACATAACATCAACGTCAAAGAAGCGAGAAGTGATCTTCAGGACTGACCTTTAGAAGCCCAGCCCAGCATAAGTGCTCACCTGTCATTAATACCATATCTGGGCATGAATTTGGTAAGACCAATGCTATGTAAGAATTGAGCTAAATTTTGAGACTATTTCATCAGAGACTGAGATAGCATAAGGGGAAACGTGCCCCTGATGTACTGCAGGAAGTTTGTTTGTTTCTGTTTCTTCTGGCTACAACTTTGAAGTAAATATCTCTTTGTAAAAGATAAAAAAAAAGGAAAAAGAAAAAAGCTATCTAATATTGCATGATGCACATGTAATATTAAACCAGAACAATTGTGTTATATGAAAATTTTTCTGTGATACACAGATAAAATGTTATTGTGCTAGTTAATGATTATCTAAGTATTTAAACATAAATACTCTGGTATGTCAAGAGTTAATTTGGTTTTGATAAACAATATTGCAGATATGAGAAAGCTGGAAACCCTATCAGAGAGCAAAGCTTAAAAAATACAGTTCATAAGGACTAGGAAAATTTGGAATATAATAAAAATGAAATATTCTATTTTATACTGAATAATAAATTTAGTGATTTTTTCCATAGAAATCTGAACTGTATTGCCTATTCAAGTGACTGCCATCTTCTCTTTAAGTTTTTGGGGGGTTTTTGAGACAATTGGGGTTAAGTGACTTGCTCAGGATCACACAGCTAGTATGTGGATTTGAACTTAGGGCTGCTGTTCTGTCCACTGCACCACCTAGCTGCCCCCTCTTCAAGATTTGTAATTTTCTCTGTTGATGTCTTGTGATCAGTTCCAGTCTAGCCTTACAAAATTCTTGGAGGTCCTTATCATAAATGTAGGCCATGCCAGTATATGAGGGACTGAGAAGGCATTGAGGTCAAATAAATGTCAACCTGTTTATGGAACCTATAGCAAGCATTATTAGATAAATTGTGACACCTTTAAAAAATAGAATTTATGAAACTTGTACAGAGAGGCCACTCAGAAATGCCACCAAAAACCACCATACTGGAAATGTCAAGGTCATTAAGGCACAATGCCTAGGCTGACTCCATAGCCATGGCTGCTGCCTTTTCTTTTTCAAACATCAGGCAGAACATTTATTAACTTTTGCTTCTTCTTTAGTTTCTATTAGCTACTTTAAAAGACCTTGTTTTCAAAAAATAATAATGCATTTTTTAAAAAGAAGGCCTTGTTCTACAAAGGCAGCTCCAGTTTTGAGATAATCTTACTGAGCAAGATAATACGCTTGATTAAAATGAGGAATTGGTTTTACAGCAGTCTAAAATTGGTTAGTACAAAATTTTCTTTCAGTAGCCCAATAATAAATAATGTTTAAAACCAATCAAAAAGCGGCATACATGATGGGGTTTTGTTAGTAAACAGGTTGATTTCATTCGAATGACTAGATGCTGTAATGATGAATATGATCTTGTTATAGTAAAAATGGTTCAGGATGAATTGAAAGTTGCTCTACTGCAAAAGCAAAATCCAAAACAGTTAAAAAGAAACTGCGGAAATACTTGGTAACAATGTGCTATCAGTCATCAATACTGCTGTTGAAAGAGGAAATAAAGTGTTGTGTTCAAAGAACATGGGGTAGGCCAATATAGCTGGGTCATGGAGCTTATGGAGGGACATAAAGTGTAAGAAGGCTGGAAAAGTAGGAAGGAGCAAAAGCTTATATTTGATCTTGAAAGTAATAGAGAGCCAGTGGCATTACTGTCCTCATTAATGAGCGAGATTGGCTAACAGGATAAGGCAGTCCAATGAGAGAGAGCTTGCTCTCTATGGACAAGGTTCTATGGACAAGCTGAGAGCCATTCACAGTGACATTACTCATCAATGACAATCTATATAATGAGTCAGAAATACCTACTTAAGGTCCTGCAGTTGTGCCTGAAAATTCTCAGGCACCTTCCACACATATGACCCCATTAAGGGAGTACTTAGCAACTTACAAGGCCCTACTCAAATCCTGGAGAGAATATAATTGGGATCAGGTAAACAAGTATGATGAATAAGAGATAAAGTCCCCAAAAAAGCCTACTCCATTCAAAATAAACGTTCCTCAAATAACATCAAATATTTGTAATGAAATTGGAAATCAGTGGACTTTCTGACCTTTACAGCCATCCAGTTGCAAAGTACACAAAAATTAGAGACGAAGAACTGATGCTGAGTGAAGTGAGCAGAATTAGGAAAACATTGTACACAGTAACAGCAACATTATGCGATGACCAACTTTGATAGGCTTAGCTATTCTCCACAATGCAATGAGCTAAGACAATTCTGAGACTCGTGATAGAAAATGCTATCCACATCCAGAGAAAGAAGTATGGAGTCTGAATGCAGATTGAAGCATACTATTTTCTCTGTTTTTTTGTTGTTTGTTTTTTCTTTCTCGTGGCTTTTCCCTTTTGTTCTGGTTCTTCTTTCACATGACTAATGTGGAAATATGTTTAATATGATTGTATATGTATAGCCTATATCAGATTGCATGCTGTTTTGGGGAGGGGGGAGGAGAGGAAAGGGGAAAACTTTAGAACTCAAAATCTTATAAAAGTGAATGATCAAAACTAAAAATTAATTAATAAATAATTTAGAGATGAAGACAATTGTACTTGATAAGATTTGTTGAATTGAACAAAAAAGTAGAAATTCGCTCTTTGGATAAGAATTTTAACTGTATCGAAATAATCATAATATAGACCCAGAATGTCCGTTTTTCAATAGCTGTGGCTAAGGGTATCAGACTATCTGCTGATCAGTCAACCAGCAATGTTACTTTTAAGTTCCAATTTTGTTCTAATGAGAATTTGCTGACCCTAGATAACTTCACTAATCTTCATAGTTTTCTGACTATTATTCAGGAGATTGAAGGACTGAAGACTCAAAAGATTTTTTAATAGGAGGCTTTTGTCTCCACTGACTGTGTATCTTTCTGCATTCCAACTTGTATAGCTTCTAACATGTTCAAGGTAGTGCTTCAAACCTATCATGGCTCTTGGTATCTGGAACAGTTCTTCTCTTAACCTTATTATGTGACTGAATCTACTGTATTAAAGTAAAACACCTACTAGAATAATGTATCTCATTACTGCTTATATGCTGTTCTCAAGAGCAGATACAAAATGAGATCCTAAAATTAACGACCATGGATTATGTTTAAGATCATTTTGTGCTCAGCACAAAAAGGAGGAGAACATGGAAACAATAGGGCCTCAGTTTTATTGTAAAACTTAAGAATTAATGTTTGCAGGGCAAAAGGGGAGGGAACTGTTCCCAAAGAGTGATACTTCCACATCTGCAGGGAGAAGGAGAGAGAGAGGAAGAGGGAGAGCGAAAGCATGTATGCGCATGTATATATATTATATGTATATATACATATACACATATGTACACACATACATATTCTCTCCATGAGAAGAGAACTTATGTCAACAGAGAACAGACTATGTAGATCCCTACCCCACCCCCTACAGTCCCTCACTCTATGGGCAGGATAGTGACTGTACACACAGAAAGATGCACACTCTGTTTCAAAAGTCCCAACCCATTCAGGGCTCAACTTAGAGTTTTAGACAAAGAGATGAAGTGAAACTAATAGAAGATTGCCCTATGACCAGTGAGGCATGGCAGTGAAATAATTTGGACCACTGAAATCAGAGTATTTTCTGAATTCCCTAATAAGAATAAGGAATGAGAGAGAGGAGCCCAGGAAACTTAATACTAATTGTACCAGTCTGGGAAGCAGCAATGCCTGGTCTTCGGATCAGTTAAGCAGGAGACTTTCATGTATCCCGTGAGCTGGGGCTAGAGCTACCATTCAAATCAGTTTTGACCAGCTCAGAATATTTTAAGTTTCACTAACTAAAGTCTTTGATCTCCTTGGAATGGAAGGCTCAATTATTTTTCCTTGAATGCAGGGGAGATATTTAAATATGAAAAGCCAAAAATACATAGGAGATCCATGAGGCTCAGGAAGAAAAAGGAAAAAGGTTTAAGCAGGTTAGACAGTATGTTTTGTATTTGATCATGAGACCTTTAAAATGAAAATGGGGTAGGGAAGATAGCCCATATATATTTGCCAGGTCAGTATAGAAGACAATAATCTATTTTCTGCGTTTTAGGTCAAAATCTGTCAGGGACAATTTATTCATATATAAGCGCTTCTGCTTGGAGAGAGGACAAGACAGGCGGAGTTCCCCCTGATAATTAGAATGCTCTCTGATTCTAACAACTTATATTTCACAGTAATAATGAAACGAAAGAAACTGCAGCAAATTAAAACAAAGATACATAGCTTAAGATTAGAGTTTTTGATGCGCAAAACAGAAGGATAATGTTAATACCAATAAACCATTGGAGGAAATATCTTCCTGAAACCAACTGCTCCTTCTTTAATAACTCTGTTTAAAGCATACATATATATATAGAGAGAGACAGTACTTAAAATTTCATTATTGTAGGAAACATCCTCTGCCAGTGCATATTGGAATCTTCTTTGCAATTTATAACATTAGAAAGTTGGTCAGAACACTGAAGTGATTAAATGACTTGTCCAGGGTCCAGGGTCAAATAGCCCATATGTGTTATAGGTGGGACTTGAACCTAGATATTCCTGACTTAGAGACTGGCTCTTTATCCATTAGATCACACTGCCTCTTTCATAATTATATCTTCTCCCAAATTTGTATTTTTCTTCTGAAGCTACTACCTTCAATTAGAAGTAGGAAGAAAAACACCTGTGCCCCTAAAGTCACTCTGGTTTCTTGCCCAGGACTTACTAATCTTTGTCAAAGCTTACTTATTAGGTTTCTTCAATAACGTGGGTCATCAGATTTGACAAGTTTCAAAAGGCTCTTTGTCACATCTCAAATTGATAACCCTATTGGTTTAAATACAAACCCCAGGAAAATAGCCCACGTCTTTATTGTTCATCTCATGTTGATATAAGATTGTATCAGCATTCCTCACCACTAGCAATATACCTATTCCTCACCAACTACCACTACTATACCAACTTTGATAGACTTAGCTCTTCTCAGCAATGCAAGGACCCAAGACAACTCCAAAGGACTCATGATGGAAAATGTTTTCCACATCCAGAAAAAAAACTATGGAGTCTGAATTCAGGTCAAAGCATATTATTTGCTTTCTCTCTTTTTTTTAAATTTGTTTCTTCTCTTGGTTTCTCCCATTGGTTCTAATTCTTCTTTACAACATGACTAATGTGAAAATAGGTTCAATATGAATGTATATGTAGAGCCTATATCAAACTGCACACCGTCTTGGGGAGGGAAGGGGACAGATGAGGAGAAAATTTAGAACTCAAAATCTTATGGAAGTGAATGTTGAAAACTAAAAATAAATAATTATTTTTAAATGAACAGACATGAGAGAAACTGCTATTTTCTATGCTTTTAAGTCAATTGCTTGTCTATGAATATGTCTTCAGCTGTAGAAAAGTATCCTTAAAAGCATTCCTACTCCTCTTAATGTTTTTATTTTATATATATATATATATATATATATGTATATATGTATATATATGTATATATATGTATATATATGTATATATATGTATATGTGTATGTATGTATATGCAGACATACATATATATTATATAGATGAGAAAGGAAGCATACAGTTAGGTAATTTCTGATGTGTTTTGGTGCAACTTTTTTTTTTAGGGGAAGGGAAATATCATATATAATCTATTTTATTCTTTTGAAATTTTCCCCTCTTTGAAACATCTTGAAAATCAATCCCTGACTTTAATATTATGTCACAATCCATGCATTTGGTAAGGTCGATCTCTACCCAACTTTGTCATTTGAAGTGACATTGACAATTTCTCAAGTAACACATTAGGTAAAGATTTGATGGAGTCCAGATGTGGTGGTTCCACTATCACTAACAAATGTTACATTTCACACTTCTTTGTTGTTCATCTCCCCCTTTCCCTTGCAGTTTTATATACAAATACTATCAGGAGAGTTTAGATTGGTCTCAAGCTAAGAATCCTATATATGTACATTCATTTTAACTCTAACCACTTTTGTGTTTTGTGAGGTTATATTGTTTTTAACCTTCTATCATCCTCTGCCACTTTCTCATTTAATGTTTTATAAGTGATTTGTTCTCTAAACCAGTGTAGACCTTGGCTGCTATGTCTATTTATATGAAACTTTTTCTGATAAATGTTTCCCTTCTTCAAAATATCAATTATTCTGTCGTTATGGAATAATAACATAGTTTGCAACTTCATCCTCACCTTAATACAAGGATGGTTCTTCACCTTTTATGTGAAATGGAACACTTTGACAATCTGGTAAAACTTGTGGACCCTTTCTCAGGGCAATATTTGTTGCTTACATTTATAATTGAAGGAAATGCTAAATTTTAGTTAGGAATTAGGGAAAATAAAGATGAAGTTTTTCCCACCCAAGTTCATGACCCCCTGAAACCTATTCACAGGCCCAAGGTTAAGAACCTTGACCTTAATAGATTATCTTTGTGAATTGTTATGGACCTTTTCTAAACTTATCTAGGGTCATACTTAGATAATAGATGCCCCCAGGCTGGTATTTGGAATTTTTCCATCTTGGTGAGACTTGCCAGATCTTGTATTCCATTGGCACATTCAGGGCAGTCACCACATCCCAGGGAGGTATTAGACTAGGACATTAGTGAAGGACTTAGTACATATAACCAATAATTTAAAATATTGTACATTTTGGTTCTATAATATGACCAATGAAGGGAAATATATACACAGAGAGAAAGACATGTGGACGGGCATATGAAAAGATGGAAAGGACAAAGAGGGAGAGAAGACAAGACAGGTTTGGAAGGTTCTGACTTTATTAGTTCTTTTCAAACTTTGCAGTTCCTTTGTCTGGAGTATTGGAGTAAATGATCACGTGTTATCACTACTGCCCTTAAAAATGATAATAGGTCCTCAGCAATTAATTAATTAATTAGTAGTTACAACTCTTCAGTTGTTCCTTTCAAACTTTCAGTGATAGCATCAGTATTTGACAGAGGAAGAAATTATTAGTCTGTCAGTCAGTATTTATTAAGCAGTCCCTGAATGCTAGGAACTGTGCTAAGTGCTGGGGATACAAAGAAAGGCCAAAACATGGTCCCTGACCTCAAAGGGCTCACATGATTATTATTTTATTTTGAGGCAATCAGGGTTAAGTGACTTGCTCAGGGTCACCCAGGTAGTGTCTGAGGCCAGACTCAGGTCCTCTTCACTCCAGGGTCAATGCTGTATCCACTGAGCCACCTAGTTGCCCCCAAGGAATTCATATTTTAACACAAGCTATAGTCCTTTGGTAAAAACATATATATTTGGTAAGAACCCAAAGAAATAAGGCCCAGATTCTTACCAGAGATTTTTTCCATCTAAGTCACCGGCAACAGGGATCCATTATAGGTTCTTAGTCAAACCAAGTGGCCTCTTTGGGCTTCAGTTTCTCCATATGTAAAATTAGAGTCGGGAATGGCCTGTTTTATTGGTGGAGGGTTGGTCTTGGAGTCAGGAAGACCTAGGTTCCAACTCTGCCTCTGATACATGCTTGCTATGTGTCTTTTCACCTCTACTACCATATGTTGCAGGAAGTGAGGGGAGTTTCCATATCAAGAATTCCCCATATGGAAATCATAGGTCTGCCCTCCTCAAAAAATTAAAGGAAGCTGCGTTTTAAGAACAATCAGGCAGTAGAATGCCAGAGAGATTAGAGAAGAGATCCAGGAGGGAAAAGGAAGCCAGTTTAAATCTATTGCAGTTATTCAGGCAAAAACTAAAATGTTCTGGATTAGGGTGGTGGCAAAGAAGATGGAAGATGAAGAAATTACTCCAAGGCCAGTGTGAAGGAAGGATCTTGCTTCCTCCCTTCATTTTTCATTTCAGATATGAAAGTACAGAAAAATGTCAAGTTGGTATCCCTGCTGTTATGCCAAATAAATGCAGGAGCCCATTCATTTTCCTTTAATGTAAAATAATTTTGGTTTTATTGATTGAGTGTGCAAAATGTTGGCTTTCCTAATGTTTACCAAAAAAAAATAGTCTCCACAAAGGAAAATGCAAGATAACAGAACAAAACTGATTTTCAATTTTAGAATGAGCTCAGAATGTAAATGGGGGATTTACAAACTTCAAAGTCTACAATGAGAATATGAATGGAAATAATTATAAGCAACTTCAAATGGCTTTTCAGCAGCCTGCAAAAGCATTAGGAGAATCCAGCATATCAAGGCACAATGAAGGACGGTTAACAGGATTAAACCAGATATTGCACCACAATGGGGGATTGTTGGGGAACATACACAGTCCCAGCCCACTATAGCTTTCAGTCAATAAGCATATGGGTCCCTTTCTAAATATTGCCTTTAGTTAAGTCATGTTTTGTGAAAGAGGGTCGGGACCACAAGGGACAGCTGGTAAATGTGCTCCATCCCTTCTGTGCCTTACTTTGTTGCTGCAATGGCAATGCAATGAAATCCCAGATCTCATTTCCAAGGAGAATCAGTTCCCAGGTCAACTGCAGCTGTGCTCTTGTGTTGATTATGGGAGATGGACAACAGGCACAACCTCCACTCAGTCTAAGTTCCTCTGAAGTTTTTGCTTTCAAGCATTCTTACAGCAGATACTTCCTTTTGTGTTATATTGATACATGCATGAGCATGTATTTGCATGAAAACATAACAAATATATGCTCAGAGTCAGCTGTATACATAAACATATACCTATATGACTGATTCTTGGTAACATATATGCACAAGACCTGTTTATCCTTTAATAGACACTGAAATCAGAGGTTGGGCAGTGCTATTTACAATGAAATAGATCTAAAATGAGTTTCAAATACATACAATTAAAATCTGTTTTCAAATTTAAACCTATCACTAAAAGTTGGCTTCACAGATAGCTTATGAGCCCTTCCACAGTGTTTGATATCTAACTGACTCTTCCTTTTTTATTTTACTTCAGGGAAACAAACACATAATAGATTTAACATGCAGAGCAACATCTGTGAAGAAGTTATTGATGGAAAGGAATTTAGCACGTAGGAATATGATACTGCTCTTTTCTGACATCCAAAGGACAAGACCATCTAGAGAAGCCAAAATCCAACTGTTTATCAAATAACCCTGGTTTTTTTCCTTCTTCCCACATTGAAAAAGCAAGAGAAAAGGATAACTTCTTGATAGAACAGTGACAAATGGCCAGTGGGAGTACAGTTCCCCAAATCACTTTCTGGGGCTTCCTATCACATTCCGCTCAGGGGGAGAAGGCACATCAAGCCCCCATACCCTCTTGGGACAAGGCCTATGCCACTCTGGGTGAAGGGATTATGCTTCTCTGAATCATATTCAGTCTAGGGAGAAGTATAGCATAGCCCTAGAGTGGTCGGTCACAGCATGAGTGAGGGACAAGGAGGCAGACCACTAGAGCACAAGCTACTCCCCACTATAAGCAGATTTGCCCCTAGAAGACAGTTATTAGTTAGTCATAGCTCTGAAAACAGTGAATCCTTGACTATGTGCTAGAAGACTTTTTCTTTGAAAAAATGTGTTTTATTGATTTTTTTGTTTGTTTTCATACTAGTCATTTCTGGATGTACTAACCTATTTACGTCATAGGATATGAACTATCCCTTGTAACTAACTCCTTCCAAAATAAACAAAATTAGTTAAGCAAAAACAATTGACAAAATGACCATAAAAGCAATATATTTTACCTTTGTAAACCCTTACCGCACTGCCACAAGGGTAAGATTGTCATTGACTGAGACCTTCCCCCCCATTTTCAGTTACTCAGAATTCAATCTCCTTTTACTGGTATTTTCATTTCCATTGTTGCAGTCACTGTGTATGTTCTTCTGGCTCTCCTCATTTTAATCAATGTTATTTGATGTAAATTTTTTTCTATATTTCTCTGAATTCCTTATATTTATCATTCCTTAATGCATAATAAAATCATATTAATACACTATGGTCTGTTCAGCTTACTTTATAGCTCGGTCAATGGACAACTACATTATTTCTAGTTCTTGGTACCACAGAAGTGCTGCTATTATTATTTTGGCATATACTGGACTTTCTAGTTCTGAACATTTTGGAGTATATGCTTGGTAGTGAGATCACTGATAACTGGGGTGAGAGGACTTCTCACAGGAAGTAGCCTTGAAGCTGACGTTTGAAGCAACCTAGAGATTCTAGGGGGTGGGAAGGGTATTCTAGGCTCAGGGAACAACCTGAAAAGTCATATGGAAATGGGGGTGAGAGATGGTGTTTTGGGTTCAGAGAAAAAGCTAGTAGACCAGTTTGGCTAGAATGAAGAATGTATGAAGAGAATGAAAATGAAATGTCTTACAAGAATGGAGCCAGACTGTGAAGGAATTTAAATGCCAGGAATAGGAGTTTGTATTGTATCCTAGAAGCAATAGAGATTTGCTAAAGATTTTTTGAGTAGTAGAGTGACATGGTCAGATCTGTGCTTTAGTAATAATGATTTGGTACCTCTGAGAAAAATGGATTAGAGAAGGAATAGGAGTCTATTTCAATAATCTAGGCAATCGGTGATCAGGGCCTTAACTATAGTAGATGTTATCTGTGTGGGTAGAATGAAGGGAATAGAGTAGGGAAGTGTTGTGGATATAGAACTAAGACTTGGCACTGACTGGATATAGCAGTGAGGAAAAGGGAAGAATATATTCTTTGACGGTAAAATTGAGTGACTGGTGAGAGGCAAGGGAAGATGATAAGTGGCACTCTTCTAGAAGGAGAGATGTATGGAAGAAGTAGCAGGTTTAGGGGCGATGATAAGAAATTCTGATTCGGACATGTTGAATTTAAGAAACCAATAGTATTTCCAAGTAAAGATGCTAGACAAGAGTTCAGGAGAGAGATTAAGATTGGGTATACAGATTAAAGAGTCATCTACCTAGAGATTATAGTTGAATCCTAGGGTAACTGGTGAGATAACCAAGAGAAAGAGGAGAGAGAGAGAAAAGAAGAGATCCCAGGACAGATCTTTGAAGGGCAGCCACAACCAAGCAAAGGGGCCCAAAACAGAAGTTAGAAAGGCAGGAAGGAAAGTAAATACAGTGTCACAGAAGCAAAGGAAGGAGAGAGTATATAAGTGGATAGCCAGCTGTGCCAGAAGTTGTCAGAGAGATCAAGTGGAATGAAGATTGAAAAAAACATCACTAGGTTGAGCAACTGCTGGTAACCTCATAGAATGGTGGGGTTGCCAGGGGCAGAGCAGAAAGTGGGAGGTAAGGAAATAAAGGCAGGAAAGCTAGTTTGGGAGTTCAGGCTGTCTGCAGACAAGAAAACCAAATAATCAGGCCCCAGGACCTATCTGCAATAGAATTACACTGGATACACTTAAGCTTATTGGCCTCTATATGAATTTTTGCTCTCTTTTTCCATTTCTCCTTACTAATATATATTTTCTTGTTCACTTGTTTTACCTTCAAAAGTTTTAAGTTGAGTATCATGAGCCTTTCAAGAAGAAAGGAGCTAAAATGTCCTTTATAAATAGCATCCAGAATGAACCCAGTTTTCTGTTTCATATTCCCAGCAAGTGGCAGTTAGTACTAATACAGAAGGGTGAGGGAAGTCCACAGTGATTTGTAGCCTGCATAGTTCCTAAGAAAGAAATCTATGTCTCAATACTGCCCCAGAAAACCAAAATCCAGAGCCACAAGGGTGCTGCTGAATCATCCGGTTTTTTTTCTACTGCTCTGCCCTGAGCCATGCTGGCTTTTAGTGAGATGGTTGCCCAGAGCAACCTTCAGACAGAACAATGTCACAGGACATCATTCGTTTGAAAGTAGACCTCCACTGTGTAAAAGTAGTATTGAGATGCCAAGAATGCTTTTGCTCTGGCCTTTTGTCCCCTCCTGCAAGAACTGTAAGAGATCGGCTTCAATAAATTTCCTTTTAAGGGTTTGTGTTTTTAAAAACTGATACAGAAAAAAAAAATAGCCTGGCAGCTCATCCTACTATGCCACTGGCTTAGATGTGCTGTAAGTCAAACCATCTTTCAGTTATGCTTATTCTGATAGAGTCCATTTCTTGCTGATTAAACTAAATACAGAAAACCTATGGGATCCTATCTTTGGCTTCCACCACTAAAGTTACAGTGATGCCCTTTTTAGGCTTGATTAAACAACATTCTTCTCCTACCCTGCACAAATAACAGTATAAATTGTCTTGAAGTTGGCTCTAAGGACACCCTTAAGTCCATATGTATTCTGGAGAGGGAGACTATGTGGCACTCCATGGTGCACAGCTTCGTATGGCACACAGGGCTTGGCTAATGCCAAGATGAGTGTATCAGTTGCCAAAGGCACAATCCTTCATGGCTGGGGCCAGACCAGGGACAGATTGCGAAATGGGCAAAACTTGTTTGGAGCATCTTTCACTTCCTTTTTCTGTCCCTCTATCTTCCTTTTCCCCACCCTCACCTTCTCTCCCTCTTATTTTTCCAGTTCCCAGGGCCTCCCCTAATGCCAGGGAGGAAAGTAATTCACTTTGAGGTGTTGATGACCTAATGTGTTAACTTTCCCAGGAGCATTTGCATTTCTAAAGGAATCATGGGGGGAAATTATTTATGCACAGAAATGAATCAATAACAGTCAAATTCTGGAGGGAACATATTTAGTATTGGGGGTTTTTTATTTGTTTGTTTATTGGGGGGGAAGGGAAGAAATTTCCTGATATCCCGACATCCTAGCCGCTTTCTAGCTTCACCCACCTGTAAGGCTAGCTCTATGTTGGTGTTAGAGGGGGGAGGAAGCCCATTACTTTTTATGTCACTTCAGAATATATTCTCACTCACTGTCACTTCTCCCTCACAACTACTCCAGTGAGAAGAGAGGACATGAAAGCTGCAGCTGGTATGTTAGTAAAATTCTAATGAATTAACAGATTTGGAGGTGAATAGTACTGGAACAAAGCTGCCAGACTCACAGTGGGGAGAAAACTTACTAGTCAGTTGCTCTATCTCTCAGACTTGTCCCCAAAGCAAGTACCTCACACAGACAATGCACTAGTCAGACAAATAGAAGAGAGACACTTCCTGCTGTCACAGAACTCATGCTCTGATTAGGAACAACACCTGCCCTCTCCCCGTTGTGGAGCTGAGGCAAAGGAGAGAATACAATCATCCATGGGCTACATTAACAGAAGCCCAGATCCTTAACAAAGGTGATGGTAGACTGGTTGTCCTTTGCCCGGTCTGACTATGTCTGTAATTTTATATTCAATTCTGGGAACTACATTTTAGGAAAGATATTCACAAACTGGAGTAAGGAGGACAACCCAGATAAGGATTCATTAAGTTATGTCATGTGAGGATTCAGGGGTGGGGAACCTGTGGCCTTGAGGCCACATGTAGCCCTCTAGGTCCTCAAGTGTGGCCCTCTGACTGAATCCAAACTTCACAGAACAAACCCCTTTAATAAAAGGATTTGTTCTGTAAAGCTTGGGCTCAGTCATAAGTCCACACCCACATGTGGCCTTGAGGCTGCAGGTTCCCCACCCCGACTAGGCTTGCAGAAGTCTTTGGTGGGACATGACAGCAGTTTTCAAATAGAGGGTTTTCCCAAAAGTCTTAGTGCAGGTTTAAGCTGTTCAAGCTAAGCTACACTAAGACATCTGAAACACTCTGTATTTGAAGAACTATCATAAGGAAGAGGGCTTATTGTTTTGCTTTAAAAGGAGGGGCTTTGAGCAATCGGCAGAAGCCATAGTGAAGCAGATTTGAACTTGATGAAAGGAAAAACTTGGTAACCATTAGAGCTGTCTAAAATGGGCCTCAGGAGGCAGTGTGTTTCCTGTCGCTGGAGTTTTTCAAGTAGAGGCTAGATTGTTGTTTGTCCTTCGTTCTTCAAGAGGACCATGATATCAGGAAGGTGATGCCATGACTTGCAAGTGAAGTGATTTAAGTGAGGCAGGGCTGTGCAAAGTCACCCGCCTCACTTTCTCCTGCAGAGCCATCTGGGCTCAGTGGCCAGATATAGATCAGAATGATTGGAGATGGACCCAGATGCAGTGAGAGACTGGATAATCATTTATTGAAGGTATTGTAGAAAGGATTCCTGTTTCAGGTACAGACTGGAATAAACAATCTCAGGAATCCTTTCCAACTCTGAGAGTGCGTGATTCTGAGTAATTTCTGATAATTTTTTCAGTAAATTCTGATGATTTTACTGGATTTCTACAGATTTTGATAGCATAACATGAAGGTGGCCAAGCTTTGGCAGCCTTGAGAGATACTTCCAACCACTAACTGTTAAGGAAAGGTTAGGATTGGTGGTGGGAGCGGCAACATAACAACCAGGCTGCAGAAAGAATCCTTTCAGAAAACTCTTTTCCCTCCTCTGAACTCAGTAAGCTTTTACTATCTATCATCAATTGTAACTTACTATTTACTGCCTGTATTATTAGCTATTTTATATATGTATTCATTCAGCAGACATGTATTAAGCTGCTACTATGTATAAGGACTGCTCTACACACAAGGAATAGAAAGATCAGTAGATTATATCTTGGAGGGTAAGCATTAGATTTGTGTAATTTTGTGTGTCAAAGGGAGTATGGCATAGTAGTTAGATGGCTACTCTTCCAACTAAGAAGACCTGAATTAAGTGCTGATGCTGACAAAGGTTCTGCCCAAGTTGCTTAAAGTCTCAGTGCCCTAAGCAACTTTCTAAGACAGTAAATTGCTGTGATAGTGCTGACCAGCTTGGTTAGAGAGATATTTTTATTCAGAGAGTTCTCCAGGTCAATGAAATCATTGATTTCAATCTTTTTGTAATCCCTATATCAGGGGTCCCTTTGACAAGAAGGCCGAATGTAATGTTTAACAGTCTCATACTGAAACCTCTGCTAGGAAGCCTGGGACAGTCTGTCCTCTGGACAGCAGGCACCAACTCCCTGACTTAAA